GTGTTCCTGACGGAGACTACGGCTTTCTATTTAAAAATACCGTAAAAATGCAATATCTCGGCAGCAATAAGCTAGCAGCACGAATCCTTTTCAGAGTATTCATAGCTCATTAGGACCTACATTATGCATACACTCCCGACTCGAAAGCAATTTGACAGTTGGGGGACTTCCCTGGTGAGGGCTGCGCAAGTACGAGTACAACTTGTACCACCCCGTTCACAGCTGACTATGTACTACCTTGTACCACCTTGTGCCCCTTTGTACCGTCATGTACCATCTTGTACCGAGACCATGTATCGCTATAACAACATATATACCCCAGAAAAACCTAGAAGTCTAGAATTCATGTACCACCTTGTACCACCATGTACCACCTTGTATCGAGACCATGTATCGACACAACAACATATATACTCCGCAAAAACCTAGAATTCTAGAATTCATATACCACCTTGTATCGATACAACAACATATATACTCCGCAAAAACCTAGAATTCTAGAATTCGTGTACCACCTTGTATCACCATGTACCACCATGTACCACCTTGTATCGAGACCATGTATCGATATAACAACATATATACCCCCGAAAAACCTAGACTTCTAGAATTCATGTACCACCTTGTATCACCATGTACCACCTTGTACCACCATGTACTACGATGTATCGAGACCATGTATCGATATAACAACATATATACCCTCGAAAGGGTGTGGGTGTGGGTGTCGATGTATCTCTTCCTTCTATTCGCACCCACACCCACACGCACATGTCACAACCACACCCACACCCCCATCCCCACCCACACCCACACCCACACCCACACCCTATTTTTGAAAACGTTTTGTTCTATAAGCAGTCGAGGAAAGTCGCGATTTTAATTCTGAGAATGATTAAAATTCTAAGTTAACTATACTGTTACAGATTAGGATCATCGCATTGTAACACGTATACTCAGTTACATCTGATGTTACGATCAGTTATCTCAGAGAAACAAAATAAAATAAAATGATATGTAAATAAATTTAACTCTTCAGTCGAGGGCTAAGCAAGCCTAACCGACGAGCGTTACTTGTTACTTAACTCATACCGAACGCACCATTAATTATTATATTGCAAAAACCAAACAAACGAATATAAATAATGTTTTCGCTTGATTGAATAATATCGAACTTAAAATCACATATTTTATCATTCGAACCTAAAAAAAATATATAAACAATACTTTTACTTTGTAGGAATACATTGTACTAATCATCTTTTTACTCTGTCAAATGAATATAAAACAGAGTATTACTATGGCAGTCTATTAGTTATTTAATATTTAACTCACCATCATCACTTCTATCGCAAACAACTAAAAAAGAAATATGACTAATATTCTCTATTAATAGATTAGTATCGAACTCACCAGTACTCATTTCATCATGTGAACCTGAAACAAGAGGTATAAGTCACATATTTAATATATAGATTTAAATCGAGCTCAATATTCTTTTATTCCGTCTCGTGAATGTAAAACAAGAAACATCAATATTGTTTCTCTATTAAGTAATTTACATCAAACTCATCATAATTCATTGTACTGCAAAAATCTAAAAAAACAAACATGTGAATAGTGTTATCTATTCTTTAATGAATACCGAACTCACTAGTATTCATTTTCTCATGTGAACCGGGAAGAAGTGGTATAAACATAACTTCGAATTTATAAACTTAAATCGAACTCACCACTCTTTTGTTCTAGCATATGACTTTAAAACAAGAGATACCAATATTGCTTCCTATTAAGTAATTTATATCGAACTCCTGATAATTTATTGTTTCGCAGAAACCTAAGAAAAAGTACTAATAATGTTGTGCGTGGGTCACTCTGAAAGTTTTTAGAATCTTCATTAAATTTAATATATATATATATATATATACTTAGGTCTATCCAAAAGTAATGTCGCGTCCATATCATTACCTTATAAAAGGGTCAAAAAAAAATTCTTTTTTTATAGGATGATAGAGAAAATGAAGCTCTATTTTTCTATACTATTTCATCACTATCCAACTAGTATTATACTAATAAAATTCCGAGCAGAACTATTTTTGTATGAAACTTAACTTTGGTATTACGTGATATTATCATCCATTTCTGTACAATTTTTGATTTTTCCCTGTTCTTCTTTTATGTTTTCTTCCATCTTCTTCTTTTCTCATCTGTTATGGAGTTTTGTCACATATTCTTATTAGAATATACAAGAAGAATGTTGATCGAACGAAAGTGAGATACAAGCAAATTCAACAAAACTTTATTTCATCAAATGTTCAAAATAATGACCTTGATCATCCACACACAACTGCATTCTCTCAATCCATTTATCAAACGTTTTTTTATATTCCTCTTTATCCAAAGAGTACATAAACTCAGTTATAGCGTCATGTAATGATTGGGCATCGTTATGATCGCTTAAATTTCGTTTGATTAAATCAAATAACCAGAAGTCGCATGGTGATAAATCAGGAGAATTGGGTGGATGTTGTATTGTTGTAATGGCTTCCGATTCAAGGTAATCAGACACATTCTTTTGAACATGCGGCCTTCCATTGTCTTGATGAAGTATAATATGATCTGTGCCATATGAGGGCCGTTGGTGCCTGATTTTCTCTAAAAGAGGTTCCAAGCAATTGGCGATGTAATATTGATGGTTGATAGTTTGCTCCCGTTCCACATGATAAATCAAAAGCGGACCAGTTGATTTGAAAAAGATGGAAAATAATGTTTTAGGAGCAAATTTGTTGCGGCGAATTATTGTAGGCGGAGGATCACCTCTTGCCACCCAAGCAGCATTTGATGACTTTCGACCAATTTGCTTGTGATAAAACCACGACTCGTCGCCTGTCACCACATTACATAAACGCCATGTGCCATTTCTAAATTTTGCTAAATTTTGTTGACATATTCGAACTCGTTCATTCCGTTGGAAATCAGTAAGCTGCTTCGGTAAATAACGAGCGGTAATTTTGGTAAGCTGTAGATGGTCGGTGATGATCCGCTGAGTAGTACCGTAGCTTAAACCAGTTTGATCTTGCACTTCTTCTATTGTAATACAGGGATCATCATCAATAATCAGATGGACTTGTTCGATATTTTCAGGAGTTGTTTCAGTAATAGGTCTACCAGGTCGTACTTCGTTTTCAAGTTCTTCTTGACCTTCACGGAATCGTCTACACCATCTTTCAACTGTTCTAAGACAAGGAGCTTGATCACCATGAACAGAATATAGTTCTTCATAAATAACTGGTGCTTGAATATTAAGTGCAGTACGCATTTTGATATAGAATCGAATGTTTTCCGTACTCATTAGAAGCAGTTAAAGTTTTAGAGTTTAATTCGACTTTTATCGTTTGACCTTCTTCAGAGTGTACAAATAAGCTATATGTACACGCAACTAATGGAATACGATGGACGGCTAAGAGACAGAAGAGACGAGAAAAAAAAGAAGCAAGAAAACATAAAAGAAGAACAGGGAAAAATCAAAAATTGTACAGAAATGGATGATAATATCACGTAATACCAAAGTTAAGTTTCATACAAAAATAGTTCTGCTCGGAATTTTATTAGTATAATACTAGTTGGATAGTGATGAAATAGTATAGAAAAATAGAGCTTCATTTTCTCTATCATCCTATAAAAAAAGAATTTTTTTTTGACCCTTTTATAAGGTAATGATATGGACGCGACATTACTTTTGGATAGACCTAAGTATATATATATATATATATATTAAATTTAATGAAGATTCTAAAAACTTTCAGAGTGACCCACGCACAACATTATTAGTACTTTTTCTTAGGTTTCTGCGAAACAATAAATTATCAGGAGTTCGATATAAATTACTTAATAGGAAGCAATATTGGTATCTCTTGTTTTAAAGTCATATGCTAGAACAAAAGAGTGGTGAGTTCGATTTAAGTTTATAAATTCGAAGTTATGTTTATACCACTTCTTCCCGGTTCACATGAGAAAATGAATACTAGTGAGTTCGGTATTCATTAAAGAATAGATAACACTATTCACATGTTTGTTTTTTTAGATTTTTGCAGTACAATGAATTATGATGAGTTTGATGTAAATTACTTAATAGAGAAACAATATTGATGTTTCTTGTTTTACATTCACGAGACGGAATAAAAGAATATTGAGCTCGATTTAAATCTATATATTAAATATGTGACTTATACCTCTTGTTTCAGGTTCACATGATGAAATGAGTACTGGTGAGTTCGATACTAATCTATTAATAGAGAATATTAGTCATATTTCTTTTTTAGTTGTTTGCGATAGAAGTGATGATGGTGAGTTAAATATTAAATAACTAATAGACTGCCATAGTAATACTCTGTTTTATATTCATTTGACAGAGTAAAAAGATGATTAGTACAATGTATTCCTACAAAGTAAAAGTATTGTTTATATATTTTTTTTAGGTTCGAATGATAAAATATGTGATTTTAAGTTCGATATTATTCAATCAAGCGAAAACATTATTTATATTCGTTTGTTTGGTTTTTGCAATATAATAATTAATGGTGCGTTCGGTATGAGTTAAGTAACAAGTAACGCTCGTCGGTTAGGCTTGCTTAGCCCTCGACTGAAGAGTTAAATTTATTTACATATCATTTTATTTTATTTTGTTTCTCTGAGATAACTGATCGTAACATCAGATGTAACTGAGTATACGTGTTACAATGCGATGATCCTAATCTGTAACAGTATAGTTAACTTAGAATTTTAATCATTCTCAGAATTAAAATCGCGACTTTCCTCGACTGCTTATAGAACAAAACGTTTTCAAAAATAGGGTGTGGGTGTGGGTGTGGGTGTGGGTGGGGATGGGGGTGTGGGTGTGGTTGTGACATGTGCGTGTGGGTGTGGGTGCGAATAGAAGGAAGAGATACATCGACACCCACACCCACACCCTTTCGAGGGTATATATGTTGTTATATCGATACATGGTCTCGATACATCGTAGTACATGGTGGTACAAGGTGGTACATGGTGATACAAGGTGGTACATGAATTCTAGAAGTCTAGGTTTTTCGGGGGTATATATGTTGTTATATCGATACATGGTCTCGATACAAGGTGGTACATGGTGGTACATGGTGATACAAGGTGGTACACGAATTCTAGAATTCTAGGTTTTTGCGGAGTATATATGTTGTTGTATCGATACAAGGTGGTATATGAATTCTAGAATTCTAGGTTTTTGCGGAGTATATATGTTGTTGTGTCGATACATGGTCTCGATACAAGGTGGTACATGGTGGTACAAGGTGGTACATGAATTCTAGACTTCTAGGTTTTTCTGGGGTATATATGTTGTTATAGCGATACATGGTCTCGGTACAAGATGGTACATGACGGTACAAAGGGGCACAAGGTGGTACAAGGTAGTACATAGTCAGCTGTGAACGGGGTGGTACAAGTTGTACTCGTACTTGCGCAGCCCTCACCAGGGAAGTCCCCCAACTGTCAAATTGCTTTCGAGTCGGGAGTGTATGCATAATGTAGGTCCTAATGAGCTATGAATACTCTGAAAAGGATTC